CTTATATTGATGTTTTGTTCAGTAAAGGGGTTATCTAACAAATTTTTCTCAGGGTGGCCCAGGAAAACCTCACAGATATGTAAAGAATTGCAACATGGACTACCAGCTGATTAGGTTTGAGCATCTGATAACTGATAAAACTGATAAAACTGTCCAATAGAGCCCGGCCGATTTATCGGGCTGATTTTAGCATCTGGGTTAATAATCGGCCAAATATGGCTGATATAAACATTTTATTTATTTTAGCCCTGTGTAAGTTTTAGCTCTTTGTGAAATAAACATAATTTCAAAATGAAAATAAGATAATTATATCGTATCGCACTACACTTAATGCTGACATGCAGGTTGTACTGGCGCTCATAAATTCAGAAATGAATGTTTTCATTAAACAATTATTAAAAGGCTCCAACTTCTTTATTTTGTTTTAATCTTGTTTGGATTTAAATAGAAAGCTGCAGCGTTGTTGCTTAAATCTAGTTTAGTCCCTTGTGTTCAGTGGGGAGGGAACTTTACACTTCCTAGTAAATAAGAAAAACATAAATTATTGATGCGTTTTTTCTGAATGGGTGGAGAACTTATTTTATTTCTATAGTTCTATGTTCTGTTCCTTTGTCTTGAATCATATTTTTGGTTATAATGAGAATTTGAGTTGGACTATGGTTGGACAGTGCATACATACCATGTATGCACTGTCCAACCATAGTCCAACTCCATGTATAACCATTATTTTTTTATATATATATATTCTGGCCAATATATATTGGATATCGGCTAATATATCAGATATTATTATTATTTTTTTTTTATCCCCCCAATATTGATATCGGCCTTCAAAATCTCCTATCAGTCAGACTCTACAGCCTACTGGACTTCCTTCCTCTGGAGGTTTTCCCAGAATGCTTTGCCAGTAAGAGGAATTTTGACAAGGGAACATTCTTTGGATCCCCATGAAAACTAGAAAACTGATCTGGAGGAGGAAACGCTTGAGTTTTAAAATTAGTTTGTTAAATAATAGAAGCAACCAGACTTTCCAGGAGTGTTTGTCTGTTTTGTCACTTTGCATCAGAGCAACCTGGGTTTCAAAAGGCTAAAGCTACTATTATACCTTACTGTGTGTAATCAAAAAACTTTAAATTGTTCAAGGAGGACAGCAGTGAAGATCATACCTGTTTGCGACGGGAGGGGAGTGTTTGGAGATTTAGGATTGCTGTTCTTTGGGTTGCTATTTGGTCCTGCGTAATCAGAGGGAAATAAAAGAAAAATTAGTTTTCCTCCTCTTAGATTTTCTTTTAAAAATGTAGAAGAGGGAGTCCTGCTTCTGTAAAAGAGTGGAAGAAAGATAAGAAAATCAGGGGAAGGATGGCAAGAGTGCCACTGAAGACCCTCTTTGACTCTGTAGGTGGCGTCCTGCTTTTTCTATGATGGAGTATGATGGAGCAGCAGCTTAACGGAAGCTCAAAGGAAGTGGTTGAGTAAATCTCCCCTGGACACAGAACATGTTCTGGTAGAGTAAAGGACTTTAACAAAATTACATCACTTTTGGACAATGTCTTCCACACCATGCATGGAGTTGTTACAGAATTTAACAACTACTTCTGTGACAGATTTCTATATCCTAGGTGCACCTTATACTCCTTTGTTCACCCTAGGTGCATAAAGGAGCATTTTCACAGATCCCTCCTCCCAGCTGCTGATAGAGCCTATAATCACCACTGCTCCCATCAGAACCAATAAGAGTCCAGTGCCAGGGCAGCTGACAGGCTTGGCTGGGCCAAGATGGGTTGCTCTTGAACCCATGCATATTTGTGGCCTCCCAAACCCAACTTGCCATAAGGAAGTTGTTAAATGTTGGATTTGCCTATTTAATGGTTATGTCTTTATTCTGATTAAGCTCAAAATAAAGCGTGTTTTTCCATATTTTATGGTCTTAATCAATGAGGTTAAAAGATGCATAAAAATGTTTTGTTCTTATTTTTATCTGCCTGCTTCATCCCTTTCTGAGCTAAAGCACATCATGAAAGTCGGCCTGCAAATTCAAATCCCAATGGCTTACTTTCTTGGACCAAAATTATGTTGATTTTTGAAGTTAAGTGGTACACATTTGTGCCTTCACATGGCCATAAGCCTAAAGATATTTATGAAGGATCAATGTAGCTTCCCAAATCTATATAGACCTACGACGGACTGGCGCCCTGTCCAGGGTGTACCCTGCCTCTCGTTCGTATACTGCCGGATGGATGAATCTATATAAATATAGCTAGGTGCTAAAGGTTATCCATCTTCAAATATAACTAACACTTAAGACAAAAATTAAATTGAAAATACATCTCGGTAGAAGCAAACAGATCCAATGAAATGCAGAAGGCTGAAGCAAAACAAAGATGCCTGCACCGGTGTTAGCAGGAATTCCCTCTATTTTGAAAAGCCGACAAACTGACATGATTTGTGCCTTTGTGGATGGGAGGACGTTTGCATGTTCCTCCGGACTGGATTTGTTAAGAGTTTTACTTCTCAATGTTTTTTGACACAGCTGCTACTGCTGCTGTGATTGGATTAACCTGCTGAAAGGTTCTGCTTGGTGATTTACCCAATCAGGTTGAAGGTTTGTACTGAATGTCCGTCCCTTTTGCGAACACTATCCACAAGAGCCTTTCCAGATGATATTGGGTAGAATTCAAATTGAAATAGATGGATTCATCTACTTTTTGCAACGTGACCATATGCACCAAGCATTTTATTGTTTATATTTATCATAGTTTCTGGTCCAGCAATTTCTCGACTACCCAGAAAACAGATTTGGCAATAATTTCTGGTACCTTGAATGACCCAACAACAGATGGAGTCAAAGTGTAAAAGGAGGGATTTCCAGGACTATCTGGGGTTTAGTTGTAAAGCTTTACCTTGTTAGTCTGTGGGAGCAGAACTTTAGATGCTGTGTTCATATTTTTAAGTCTTCAGCTCACTTACCTCCAGGAGTGGGGGGAACATCCTCCACAGTTGACTTGATTCTGGAAAGGGCCACACTATTAGAATTAAATTCTCTTTGGAAACTTGAATAGTTTGATCCTTTTATATATTACCTATCCTCCTCAACTTCCAGCAGAGTCTTGTAGGCAGCGATCTCTGCGATCATGGCCATCTCCTTATTCTGCAAAACTATGCATTCTTTCTGGCTGATGTTTAGCTCGTTTTCCTTTTCTTCTTTGTCCTTTTGGAGATTTTGATTTTCCTTTAGAAGTGTTTTAATTTCATCCTCTAGTTTTTTCTTTTTGTCCTGTAAGCTTTTTATCTGGTTTTTGACAGAGAACAAGAGGTTAACTTCCATATAAACTCAAAAAGAAAAGAGGAAACACTAAAAACTGTCTCCTATAGACTCTGACCGATTGGATCCAATTCTATGTTTATTGTAAAGCCGGCCTTTAATAAACCTTTCTTGATCGAGCAGTATTATAAATCTAAATACAACAAATTTACAACCACACATTTAAATCTCAATAAAATTGACCCCAACTTACCTCGGATGGGTTGATCTTTTTATGCTCGGGATCATTGCATTTCCCTGCAAAACTTTGAGTCTGTTTCCTTACTTCTTCCAAAATCTTGTCCAAGTTTTTCTTATAGCCATCAGGACTGTCTGCAGGACGACCTTTAAGTGTTTCATTCAACTTCTTAGCTTCTTCAACTTCCTTATTCTGCAGAAGGATGAAGTCAAAGTCCCATGAGTATTTGTGTTTTTACTAATGTTACTAATAAACTACGGACGCCAGCTACAGGCATCATTCCTTTCTTTGAACATCTGGGTTTTCTCCAGGTTCAAAACAACAGAAAGATGGATAGCTACTTGTTAGCATGACTGTCTTGGAGCAACAAGGTTACAGGTTCAAATCCCTTTCTGCATAGAGTTAGCATGTTCTCCCTATTCTTGTAGGACTGTTCTGACCTTAGTGTCTTTGCAAGAGGTGGTTATTCATTTAAGGCCAACAGGTTCCCCGGATGATGCTATTCCAACTAGATCATTTAAAAATGTTTTTCTAGCAATAGGTCCTTCAGTGCTTGCTCTTTCGAATAGCAGTGTGTCTTCAGGTGTAGTTCCTAGAAATTTAAAACATGCAGTCGTCCAATCTCTAATTCAGAAACCCAGCTTGGATCCCTCTGTTCTGGATGACTATATGCCTATTTCTAAAATACCATTCCTTTCAAAAATCCTCAGGAAGGTATTCTATAATCAACTACTGATCTATTTGAAAGAACAAAATATTTTAGAGTTGTTGTTTTTTTCAGTTTGCTTTCAAGTCTATATAGTCTATCTATATAGTTCTCTAGTGTATCTGATTATGTTCTGATTGCCTGATTCTGACCCGCTCTGCCTTTGGACCTTTGAGCCTGCCTGTTCCTGTTCTGGTCTGTTTGCCTGGCCTGTCTTCGGACTCCTGTGGGATTTCTGTCTGTGTACCTAACTTGGAACTGATTCCTGACACCATCCTGGATTTCCCTCTAGAACTTTTTCAGACCTCTGATCTCCTGGTTCTGAATCCTGAGCGCATCCTTGGCGTCGGCCTTCCTTAGTCTTTTCTTCTGCCAATCCTCTGACCTCAGGGGCTACAGCATCTGGGACCCTCTACCTGTAATCCAGTGGGTTAGAAGCTAAAAGGTTTGGCTACCTCGTCCTCTGGGCACAGACTGAACTTTAAGACCAGGTTAGTGACTCACGCGTTCATATTCATCCGCCAGATAGACATGGTCACTAACCTGTGTTCTCTTCCTGCAAAAGTTCCTGCCTTAGACGCCCTAGCTGCTCACTGCAGATCTTTAATTAATGCCTTTCTTTAAAATATCTGACTGTCCGTCTGCCTTGAATACTGGGTCCTCTTTTCTGAGCCTTGACTGCCATGTTAGATCGCAAGTAACGTAATGATGCTGCACAGTGAAAAGTAAGCAGTGAGACTCCTGATTTGATGAAAAACTACAGCAGTTACTAACACCATTATTCTGTAAAGCTGTTACTCCCAACATTTCATTTAACACACTTGCCTTCTTCTAATAAAAGCCTTAATTATTATCTAACACCTGCTCAAATTAAGCACTTGCCCTGCAAAACTGAAAATAAATTAATGTTTTTTATACTTTTGCTTTTGAAATTTGAGGTTCTTTTTTTGTTTGTTTTTAGAAAACACATCCATGTGTCTTTTAAATGTAATTGCAACATTATATTTATGCTCAGAAAATTTGAAAAGATTCAGAAGTGATGTAGAGATTTGTGATAAGTCATAGCTTTAAATATTTATGCTTAAAATTGGAGCTGCAAAGTTGTTTCTTCTTTGAAGGATTATGTGTAAAAAAAGAAATCTTTATAATCTTTAGTCATAGAGTCTTATTCACAAGGAAGTTTGTTTTGGTGATGTCACACACACACTGACCTCCACCCCACACACACACCCCCACAGCCTCAGAAGAAAGGACAATAAGTGAGAGAACAATGAGCACCTTCTGAATTATCTGGGTCCTCAGGGTAGAAATCTGAGTCTCCAGCTTCCTCTTCTCTTCCTGCAGTTTCTAGATTTTCACAGAGTTAGTATTTTGGTCAGTAACCATCAACAAAGACAGATGTTATGAGTTATGACTTCATCCAAGCCATCAACTATATCTCCAAACTAACAGAAACATCTGATGCTATGATGGGTTTAAAAGGCTAAACTTGGGCAGATATGGCATAAAACATCACCTCCCTCCGTCTGTTATGAGGCAACGCTCATCACTATTCTAACATTATATTAAAACATCTTTAAGTTTTCACCCGTAGCTTACTGTCATTTAGATCAACAGTTTTTAGATGTGTGACTCATAGCAGATTATAGTTATACAGGAAATATTTTACTTTCTTTGAACCATAAAAGGTTATTAACTCATACAAAAAAATACTTGCAGACTCAGAAAGCTGTCTTTATCCTTAATCTTGATAAACTAAATATGTCCAGTTACTCCAAATTTCTAAAGGCTAAAATTACATCAAAATAAAATGAAAAAAAAAATTGTATTTTACTTACATTTTCAGCATTTTTTTTTTTTGTCTCTGCATCTTCTTTCTTTTTAGTCTCATTTCTCAAGCTGGAAAACAGAGAATCGGTGGAAATGTATTAAAATGTGTTGTTTTTTCTATAATCAGTGACATGATGGAGAGAGGAGGAGCCTCATGGTTCACTTTTAGAGATAGTCTACTCAAAGATGTTAATTTTTCAAGTTTTTTTATAATAACGATTTGAAAATAATTCATTTTATAATGATAAAAAAATAATTAGATACTTTTATTTTTACATATTTTATGTCTGCTTTTCTCCAAATTTTATGCAGCCCCCACTTCATTCATTTTTGATCATCAATAACAAATTTCCAGGCATTTGCAAGAACCTAATTTGCTGCAGCTGCTGGATAAGGGGGGTTCTTCATCTGTAGTGTTCTGCAGGATACTGATAGTGTT